CCTCGTGATCCACCCGCCTCGGCCTCCCACAGTGCTGGGATTACAGGCTTGAGCCACCGCGCCCGGCCGGTCTTTTGTTTCTTTAACACCTATTATGCCATGAATTCATAGGGAAGAGGGTCCAGCAGCTCAGGCCCCTTCCCATTGGTTCTCACAAAGTGCGCTTCTCTGGGTGGAGTGGGCTAATGCTTCAGTTGAACCCAGGTACCTTTCTCTTTTGCTTCTTTCTTTTTCTGATCATTTTCCGTCATGTGTTTCAAGAAGCTATCTCAGCTCTTTAGAGTACTTAATGTGTTCAATACACATATTAATTGTCTTGGCAAGAATTTTGTCCTTGTTTGCGACAATGCTAACAGCATGCTGGGTAACATTGTAGACACTTTCAGTTTTGCCATGGTAACATTTGTGGGGCATTCCTTTTTGAACAGTACCCATTCCCTTGATGTTTACCATATCACCTTTCTTATAGATTCTCATGTACTTGGCCAAAGGAACAACTCGATGTTTTCTAAAAGGACTACAGAACATACATAGGGTGCCTCTCCTCTTTCCCTTTGTGTTCATCATTTTGGCGAATTACTGGAAGTTGGTGGTTCTGGCCAAAAGGCCATTTTCTAATCTGCTTTTTGTTTTTCTTACCATTGAATTCAAGAATTCCTTAAATATTGCAGACATTTGTCCTTAGTCAGATATATGGTTTACAAATATTTTCTTCTATTTTGTAGCTTGTCTTTTCATCCTCTTAACAGAGTCTTTTGCAGAAGTTTTAAATTTTGATGATGTCCGGTTTGTCAGTTTTTCCTTTTATTGATTATACTTTTCTTCCCCAAGACAGAGTCTCACTCTGTTGCCCAGGCTGCAGTCCAGTGGCATGATCATGGTTCACTACAGCCTTGACCTCCTGGGCTCAAGTGATCCTCCCACCTCAGCTCCTGAGTAGCTGGGACTACAGTCACGCACCACCACACCTGGCTAATTTTTGTATATTTTGCAGAGATAGGGACTCGCTATGTTGCCTAGGCTGTTCTTGAACTCTGGGCTCAAGCCATCTACCCACCTTAGCCTCCCAAAGTGCTAGGATTACAGGCATGAGGTGCTGCACTCAGCCTGGATCATCCTTTTGACACCAAGTCTAAGAACTCTTTGCCTATAACTAGGTTTTATAGATTTCTGCTATTTTTTTTTTTTTTTTCTGAAAGTTCACTTGCTTGCCTGTGAATGTCTGATTTTTCTAGGACCATTTGTTAAAATAATCTGTCTGCCCATTGAATTGCTTTCAAGCCTTAAAAAATTAATTTGGAATATAACTGTTTTTGTTGCACTTGGTATCTTTATATTTTGTTGAGGATTTTCACATCTGTGTTGCTAACAGAAATAGGTTTGTAGTTTTTCTTGTGATGTCTTTGTCTGATTTTGATATCAGTGCACTACTGATCTCACTGGATTATTTATGTACTGTTGTCTCTTATTTTCTGGAAGAGTTATTGAAGAATTGCTGTTAATTATTTAAATACTTTATAGAATTTATCAGTGAAGGCATATGACTCTGAGCTTTTCTTTTTGGAAAGTTTTTTATATTATTCTACTATAGGTCTATTCCGGTTTTCTATTTCCTTTTTTAAATTTTTATTATTTTTTGACGCTCTACACCTTCAGAGAAATCTTCTCTAGTAATAAACTGTAGAAATGACCCTGGAAAGTAGAGTCTTAAGTCTCTTTTATTGCAGTCACTTTCGTGGGTGTGAAGTGGTGTCTTATTGTGGTTTTGTTGTGCATTTCCCTAATGCTAATGAAATCAAGCATCTTTTCATGTGCTTTATTGAATATAGCTTATGTCTTTTGGAGGAATGTCTATTCAAATCCTTTGTCCATTTTAAATTGGGTTATTGTGTTTTTATTGGTGAGTTTTAGTTTTATTTTTATTTTGTTTTATTTAATGT